GGGAGTAGCAACCCTGGATGTTTGAAGTTCCTAAACTACACTGACCTAAAAGTAAATGGCTCAACTCAAAAACCAAAATGCCCACAAGATGGCACCGCGCGGTGAGAAAGAAAACAGAGCTATTTTAGCTGGAAACATAAAACGAGTTCCGCCAATTCCCAAGACAGGAGGCAAAACCACCAGGAAAGACATCAGAGTTATCCCAAGACAGGAGGCAAAACCACCAGGAAAGACATCAGAGTTATCCCAAGACAGGAGGCAAAACCACCAGGAAAGACAGCAGAGTTATCCTAAGACAGGAGGCAAAACCACCAGGAAAGACATCAGAGTTATCCCAAGACAGGAGGCAAAACCACCAAAAAAGACATCAGAGTTATCCCAAGGCAGGAGGCAAAACCACCAGGAAAGACATCAGAGTTATCCCAAGACAGGAGGCAAAACCACCAAAAAAGACATCAGAGTTATCCCAAGACAGGAGGCAAAACCACCAAGAAAGACATCAGAGTTATCCCAAGACAGGAGGCAAAACCACCAAAAAAGACATCAGAGTTATCCCAAGACAGGAGGCAAAACCACCAGGAAAGACATCAGAGTTATCCCAAGACAGGAGGCAAAACCGCCAGGAAAGACATCAGAGTTATCCCAAGACAGGAGGCAAAACCACCAGGACTCAGGCGATAGGTCCCCAGAAAGAGTGTTTGAGGACCTATCGTTGTAGTATCCCGGATTTTTTTTCGTTTTTTTTGCCAACATATGTTGAAAAATAACATTTCTATCAAAATATATCGTGTCTAACCCTAAACCCTACATCCGTTAGAAAAAAGATGAAAAAATAAGAAACATATCTGCCAACAACGGGGGGCTCACGGTATGTAAATATTATACATCCAAAAATAATCAGAATGCATATATTGAAATTGTAAAATTGCGCCACCTATGTGGAGATGCGCCATCTATGTGGCATATTTTGGTTAGGTTGGTTTATGGATGTCAGGATGTGAGGGAGTTGCGCCATCTATGTGGCATATTTTGGTTAGGTTGGCTTATGGATGTCGGGAGATATGAGGGAGTTACGCCATCTATGTGGGCATTCCCAGCCTGATTTTGGCGAATGGGTGGGAGTTGCGCCATCTATGTCCCAAAAAGGCAGCTTGATGTTGAGAAAAAAAACATCTGGGGGAAAACAGCGCAGAAGATTGCAAAAAATAGTCATTTTTAGGGATACATGGCGCAACTGACCTGTTTTGAATGGCAGTTGAGCCATCTATCCCCCGCATTCTGCATTTGACATAGATGGCGCCACTCAAGATTCTGAGCGTCTACTTTGACATCAGAGTAGAACGTTTCAAAAAAAAGACAGATCCCCCGAAATGATCAATTTCTTTTTATATTGCATTAAAAAAATGAGTTTTTCAGGCTCACCGAAGGGTACCCCCCACGACCGGTGTCGTAGAACTATGAAAAAAAAACTAGTTGCAATGAAAACCAATGGAATTTGGTGGTATTCCCCAAAAAAATGATGAATATTTTCACTGGGGACCTATATTCTATGTATGTAATTCTTCAAGGAATTGGGTCTCTTCCATGTATAAGGGTATATATCATATACGTAATTCCCTTTGGGGAGTAGCAACCCTGGATGTCTGAAGTTCCTAAACTAGAACGTTTCAACAAAAAAAACAGGTTCCCCGAAATGATCAGTTTCTTTTTATATTGTATTAAAAAATGAGTTTTTCAGGCTCACCAAAGGGTACCCCCACGACCGGTGTCGTAGAACTATGAAAAAAAATATTTTGCAGATAGAATGCCTCCCCGGAAACTACAGCAGATATAGATCAATGAAAAAAACATAGAAGAAAAGGAAGAGTAAGGAACAATATAGAAGAAAAGGAGGAGAAAAGGGAAAAGGATAAGGTCGGAAAAGAGACAAGGGCACTCCAGGTTCCCTGCAGGTCAGAAACATATGGCTACAGTGGGGAAAACACCGGATAGAATGCCTCCCCGGAAACTACAGCAGATATAGATCAATGAAAAAGACATAGAAGAAAAGGAAGGGTAAGGAACAATATAGAAGAAAAGGGGGAGAAAAGGGAAGAGGATAAGGTCGGAAAAGAGACAAGGGCACTCCCAGGTTCCCGAGGGTCAGAAACAATTAGATACAGCGGGGAAAAAACCGATAGAATGGCCTCCCCGGAAACTTAAAGCAAATATAGATCAATGAAAAGACATAGAAGAAAAAGGAAAGGGTAAAAGGAACAATATAGAAGAAAAGGAGGAGAAAAGGGAAGAGGATAAGATCGGAAAAGGGACAAGGGCACTCCAGGTTCCCTGCGTGTCAGAAACATCTGGCTACAGTGGGGAAAACAACGGATGGAAGGCCTCCCCGGAAACTACAGCAGATATAGATCAATGAAAAAGACATAGAAGAAAAGGAAGGGTAGGGAACAATATAGAAGAAAAGGAGGAGAAAAGGGAAGAGGATAAGATCGGAAAAGAGACAAGGGCACTCCAGGTTCCCTGCGGGTCAGAAACATCTGGCTACAGTGCGGAAAACAACAGACAGAATGCCTCCCCGGAAACTACAGCAGATATAGATCAATGTAAAAGACATAGAAGAAAAGGAAGGGTAAGGAACAATATAGAAGAAAAGGAGGAGAAAAGGGAAGAGGATAAGATCGGAAAAGAGACAAGGGCACTCCAGGTTCCCTGCGGGTCAGAAACATAAGGCTACAGTGGGGAAAACAACAGATAGAATGCCTCCCCGGAAACTACAGCAGATATAGATCAATGAAAAAGACATAGAAGAAAAGGAACGGTAAAAGGAACAATATAGAAGAAAAGGATGAGAAAAGGGAAGGGGATAAGGTCGGAAAAGAGACAAGGGCACTCCAGGTTCCCTGCGGGTCAGAAACATTTGGCTACAGCAGGGAAAACAACAGATAGAATGCCTCCCCGGAAACTACAGCAGATATAGATCAATGAAAAAGACATAGAAGAAAAGGAAGGGTAAGGAACAATATAGAAGAAAAGGAGGTGAAAAGGGAAGAAGATAAGATCGGAAAAGAGACAAGGGAACTCCAGGTTCCCTGCGGGTCAGAAACATATGGCTACCGTGGGGAAAACAACAGATAGAATGCCTCCCCGGAAACTACAGCAGATATAAATCAATGAAAAAGACATAGAAGAAAAGGAAGGGTAAGGAACAATAAAGAAGAAAAAGAGGAGAAATGGGAAGAGGATAAGATCGGAAAAGAGACAAGGGCACTCCAGGCTCCCTGCGGGTCAGAAACATATGGCTACAGTGGGGAAAACAACAGGTAGAATGCCTCCCCAGAAACTACAGCAGATATAGATCAATGAAAAAGACATAGAAGAAAAGGAAGGGTAAGGAACAATATAGAAGAAAAGGAGGTAAAAGGGAAGAGGATAAGATCGGAAAAGAGACAAGGGCACTCCAGGTTCCCTGCGGGTCAGCAACATCTGGCTACAATGGGGAAAACAACAGATAGAATACTCCCCAGAAACTACAGCAGATATAGATCAATGAAAAAGACATAGAAGAAAAGGAAGGGTAAGGAACAATATAGAAGAAATAGGGGGAGAAAAGGGAAGAGGATAAGATCGGAAAAGAGACAAGGGCACTCCAGGTTCCCTGCGGGTCAGAAACATATGGCTACAATGGGGAAAACAGCAGATAGAATGCCTCCCCGGAAACTACGGCAGATATAGATCAATGAAAAAGACATAGAAGAAAAGGAAGGGTAAGGAACAATAGAAGAAAAAGAGGAGAAAAGGGAAGAGGATAAGGTCGGAAAAGAGACAAGGGCACTCCAGGTTCCCTGCGGGTCAGAAACATATGGCTACAGTGGGGAAAACAATAGATAGAATGCCTCCCGGAAACGACAGCAGATATAGATCAATGAAAAAGACATAGAAGAAAAGGAAGGGTAAGGAACAATATAGAAGAAAAGGAGGAGAAAAGGGAAGAGGATAAGATCGGAAAAGAGACAAGGGTTCCCTGCGGGTCAGAAACATCTGGCTACAATGGGGAAAGCAACAGATAGAATGCCTTCCCAGAAACTACAGCAGATATAGATCAATGAAAAAGACATAGAAGAAAAGGAAGGGTAAGGAACAATACAGAAGAAAAGGAGGAGAAAAGGGAAGAGGATAAGATCGGAAAAGAGACAAGGGCACTCCAGGTTCCCTGCGGGTCAGAAACATCTGGCTACAATGGGGAAAACAACAGATAGAATGCCTCCACAGAAACTACAGCAGATATAGATCAATGAAAAAGACATAGAAGAAAAGGAAGGGTAAGGAAAAATATAGAAGAAAAGGAGGAGAAAAGGGAAGAGGATAAGATCGGAAAAGAGACAAGGACACTCCAGGTTCCCTGCGGGTCAGAAACTTATGGCTACAATGGGGAAAACAACAGATAGAATGCCTCCCCAGAAACTACAGCAGATATAGATCAATGAAAAAGGCATAGAAGAAAAGGAAGGGTAAGGAACAATATAGAAGAAAATCGCTTTTCCTTCAGTGCACCCCCTGCTGATGGCCGGGGTCTGTGAATAGGGATATTTTCGAGACAGTTCCGCGAAAGTTATGCGAAAGAGCGGGCGAAAGTCAAAGTGCATGTTGAAGGGGGTGGGCCAGTAATCTTTGCAAACAATCTGTCCTGAGAAGAGATTCCGTGATGCTAGCTGCATGTTTAAAAGGTTACCAAGAAGTGATCCGTAATTCTCTGGCGTAATTTGGCAGGTGGTGAACGAATCTTCATAAGAGGTGTTGTTGGCCAACATGGGCCCCGCGAAAGATAAACATGGAGTTCGCGAAAGTCTCGCGAAAGTAAAATTTTTATTCGCGAAGAATGGCCGTTCCGGGATAAAGGAATTTTGATCAACAACCATATGTAAAATAAATATAATATCATATGCATACATGTGTGTGTGTGTTCGTATGTGTGTGTTGCGATCTTGTGACAAAACAAATTGGGGATGCGATCTCATGGCGCAGGCGACTTCGCTTGCCACCATTTGCTGGTTTGCCACGCAGAGGAGGATTCAAATCATGTGCAGCTGCTTTCTGCCCTTGACATTGCGAGGGGTCTGTTGGCAACGAGTTCAGTCGATGTATGCAAGGAGGCAATTGAGTCGTGCATTTTGCCTCGGTTTTTTTGATTCCCGATCGGAGCAAAGCCTCTCCCAAAGAGTGATAAAAGTGCTCCTGTGTGGGCGACAGCTACTCTTGCGAATTCCTATAATGTCCACATCACACCAAATGCAAACCACAACCTAGAAGAACGTAATGAACACATAAGAGCATGAGATCGTCGGGTTTCAGGAAGAAAAAACAAACGCCAGCACAAAAGCATTGCACTGAACGACCCTTGGTGAGCAAGCGCGGACTTGTTTACGTTCGCGCAAGTACACGAAGGATCTTAAAGGTTTATGAAGGTTTGTTTGTAGACGTAGGCTGCGATTGTTCGATGCCATTGCTGGTTGATGATGCGCGAGGACGCCATGTTATTTGATCACATTATTGTGTTGGAAGTGATCGTCGGATCCCACATTAGCAGCGCATGACAGTGCCGCTCATTTCTTCCGTGCTGAAACAGGTACTATAGTGTTTTTCGCATTGGTGGCCATCGTGCTGTGACATTTTGTTTGCGGTTGAGTGCCGCTGCGCGGTCGAACCAACGTAAACGGTAAACCATGCCGAGTACCGCGACATGAACGATAGTCAAATGCTATGATCTTTTTCTACCATGGTTCATGGTTTCCGCCCTGATACATGATATGTATCCTTCATGCTGTTTGCCTCACCCCGCTCGCGCCTGTTCGATTGCAGCTCTTCAGATGCAAGCAACAGTAAATGTACCTGCTGTTGGCACAAATGTATTTGTATGATTCGTATGTATTTGTGAGTTTGCGCTCTGGGATTTGCAATGGATCACATTACAAATGTCGGCATGCATTTTCCTGGCATAGGCAGCAGAAGTGGCAAAGCAGTCAGTTGACAAGGTCATGAAGTTGCGAAGCGATGTGCCAAGTTGCGTCCCGGCAGGAAAGTGCAAAAAGAAAGGGGCAGTACGTTTAAGTGGTCGTTTAAGTGGGTCCTGTTGTTTCCATAGTATTGGTCATTGATGAGCATTGACCATAGATCTCATGCTTTGTACTGTAAGCCATAATGTTCCACAATGTTATGCAATGCTCTACTTTGTCATCATTTATATATCTACATTCTACTGCCCAGTCTTTGCTTTCCACTTTGCTAGGAAACATGCGCGCATGCAAACGCACAGTTCAACATGCAGCAAGACCCTCCGTGCAGCAGGGCATTCTCTACAATGTCCACCTATACAGAGCTAGGTAAGAGGATCAAGAGGCAATGCCATATTTTCAAGATTTTGAAGAAACTCGCATTCCTTACGGTTATATATATGCAAGTTACAAAAGCTGTTGTAGCTTCAACAGCGGTTCAGCACCCACGAAGTTGCTGCAAAGGATCAGGTCAGGCAATCGCACGAAGTCAGCCTGTTTTCGCGGCCATCGCTCTTAGTTGTTTCCCACCCACCTGGCAAAGGGCGTTTGACCCTGACTCCTTCTTGAAGTCGTAGAGGCAGAAGCAGCAGGGATCAAGCGCATGTTGTTGCCATCCAAGGCTTTTCAGTCTGCAGACTGCTTCAAGAAACCAACCATCTCCTCGGAGCATCAAGTTGGCCATAAACTGGCTTTCGTAGAAACATCCTTGTGTTGGCAGTGGCTCCAAGGATCTGCCAGGCTTCGTTTGGAAGTTTCAGCCACAGCTTACGTTCTTGTGCTAGACCTTGAAGAATCGCTGTGCTAACATCTGCAGACCAAGCTCGCCATCGCAAGTTGGCAGAAACAGAGAGCAGCAGGGATCTTCAAAGTCTACTGGTGGTTGGAGACCCAGTTTTCAAGTTGCCCATGAGCGCGCCCACATCATTGAATCCACGCACAACAAGTCGTGCTTTTGCACGAGGGCTGCCATCAGCATTGCAGGTCCATTTCAAAAGAATCCTTCTGGTAAGTGTTCTCTGGTGTGGCTTGTTCTGCAGTGCTAAATTCCCAAACGCTACATTCAAAGAAGCTGCGAAGTTCTTTCACCTTCGCTTGGTGGAAAATTTCCCTTTCAGTTTGGTTCAAGTACTTTTCCACCACTTCGCCTTTGTTCTTGGCCATCTTGGTGACATCTCGACGCTGTTGTCCTTGATGTTGGTTCTTGAGGCCTTGGGCGACCTTCTTCGCATTCTGAACGTGGTAGTAGTGGTTGCTGTCGCTGGAAAACATGTTGAGCTCTTTTCTGGTTTCTGCATTGGTTTGAAAAATTGTGATACCCTTCCATGTTGATGGCAGCTGATGCTGTCGTAGGTCTTTGTCATGATGCTGAGGGTTTCTGAAATCATCAGTGAAGGTCTTGGCACTGCCATCGCGGCCAAAGTGAATGGTGACTCTGACGCTGTCGAGCTTTCAAGTGGAACTGGGATGTCTGAGCTGCCAGCAGGGTCAAAGAGAGCGCGCCGCTGGTGACAGTGATGGCATCCAGCTTTCAGCTCCCAAAAGTCACGTACTCGGGCACCTTCACGCAGCTCAAAATAACCAGTTTCAGGCTTGAAGCGCCAGTCACCAGGCGGTGAGTCTTGTTCCATATCCTCCGCATTGAAAGCCATTTTTGCATCATCATCATCATCATCATCAAAATCGCCACGTGCAGGACGATCATATGGAGTAGCTCCATGAGAGCTTTGTAATTGTGACCTGCGGGGTCCAAAGGACAAGGTTTCTTGGCGATCCACTCGTGCTCGTCGTTGCTCAAAAGTTTCTTGTTGTGGAACTTGAAATCTTTCAGCAGTCGCCATGACTTGACCAGCTGCTGGTGTTGGAGGAAAAACTTCTGCTGAGGGCTCCACTTCATCACGGTCAGTGATGGGCAAGGTCGGCTGCTGCGGTGGCTCAGCCATAGGAGCTGGTGGAGCATCCGGCGGTCCCATAAGTCCATCAGATTGTCCCATATGTCCAGGGGACAGAGGTGATTCTTCTGGCAGTCCCATAAGCCCAGGGGACGGGCGATGACCATCATCAGGAGGCTGATCATCATCATCATCATCATCATGAGGGATGTCATCAGCGATTGATGGCTCATAGTCATAGTCATCATCACTTTCAGCTCCATTTTGAAGTTCGGCAAGTCGACACCGTTTGGCTTCAGGTACATAGTCATCGGCCTCGTGGTCGGAGATCATCTCTTCATCTTCATTGATGTCGTCAATGTGTTGGCGATTCAAGCGGTTCAAGTCCAGGAACCTTGTCACGCCACGAGACTTGACCTGTCCTAGAACTTCTTTGGCCTCAAGCAGATTGTCCATAACATTGTTGGAAATCTGTCGAAAGTCAGGACGGCAATGGTGAGGAGCTTGTGGCAAATCCAGTAGGTCGAAGCGTTGCCTTGTTCATCGTCCTCAACCATGAGAACCTTTGCTGGCCCTCGCCATCTGATTTTGACAAGATCTGCTTGTTGAGCATTACGCCAGTAAAAGCAAGTCTGACCAACAGCAAGTCGTATGTTGGCGCCGGCATATCTTCTGAGAAGGGCGCGGCGAAGTCGATGGTCAGCGTCAGCTTGTTGAAGGGCTGACTTGGCTGCATTGCGACGCATCAGGGCATCGTCAAAGGAATGGCCTCCGGCTAAGTGCACAGGGGTGATCTGGTCTGAAGTCAAAAGTCCATTGACCTGTGGTTGATACCCCAAAAGCCATTGTGAAGGGCTGTAGCCAGAGACTGTGGGCTGAGTATTTTGTTGAGGCACTATGTAGGTCAAGGCAGACCTGATTCCATCGGCTCCATGAAGTTGTAGATCTTGCATGTAGACCTCAATGCTCTTTCGTAGAACTGCATGTCGCCGTTCCACAAGGCTCGGTCGTGTGTGAGCTTCTCCAGGAGCAACATCATGATGGATCGAGTGCTCATCAGTCCACATTGCCATTGGGTCAGAAAGCCACCCCCTGCCTTCATCAGTGACAAGGGTCTCAGGTGGCCCAAAGTGGGCAATCCAGCATCTTTCCAAACCTACAATCAAGTTGGAGGTTTTAAGGTTGCAGTCTAGTACATGGTGGCAGAGTCAACGCATGAAAGAACCGCAAACTGTGTGTCACCATCTTTAATCCAAAAGACATCAGCTTGAAGTCGTTGGTTGAAGTGGTCGCTTTTGGTCAAGGCTGATGGTGCAGTTTGATTTGGTTTCTTGTAGCGCTGACATGCTGAGCAAACATAGGAACCAGCAACTTGAAGAACATCAGGGCTTGCACCTCTGGAGCTCAAAAGTTCGACCAAAGATGCCGTTGAGGGATGTCCAAGGTTCCTGTGAAGCTTCTGCACAACTCGAAGGGCAGCAGACTTGTCCTTCGACATGGAGTTCCACGAGCTTGCCAACATGCTCGGTGATCTTCTGCACGGCGTAGCCATGTTCCCAGTTGCGCGGGGCTTCAGGTGTTGCCATAGCAGCCGCAAGAGTTGATGCCATGGCGGGCTGGTACTTCTCCATGTAGGTTGCGCGATGCACTTGAAATCCACGAAGAGATCCTTCAAGGCGGCAATGTTGATGATCACCAGGGCAGTGTCGATTCATAGCTTGGGCCACGGCCAGCTTCGTAGTCAAAAGGGTTGTGTCCTTTCGGACTGGCATCCATTGCTCGTCGTCGTTCTTGCACATTGCGCCATATCGGCATTGGCTGAACTTGGCACGGTGACCTGGCAAAGTTGACAGTGCGCTGGTGCGCCATGACAAAGCCGGTGAAGGTTGCTCCAAGTGGGCATGTCGGCCTTCGTTGACCTGTTTCAAGTAGATGCGTCTGCAAAACCGCAGATGCACTCTGTGATGCCAATCTCGAAGTTGTTGAAGTTGCTTTTGACGCTGCGGCGTCTTGGCATTGATGTTCTGCATTGGAGACCAAGGTCCACAAGCGGGCGATAGAAACACTTCTTCAGGTTGGTGTTCATCCAGCAGCTTCATGAACTCACGCAGGTGTGACTTGTAGGAGAAGTTCCAACCATTGTTGAGGCCGAAGTGCTGCACATCCATGCCCAAGGAGGTGGCAATCTTGGTCATACGGCTCTCGCCACAGTGCCACAGTAGACCTCCCACAGTTGCCTTGGTTGACGTAAGTCCATGTCGCGCAAGGTCTGTGAGATGTAGGCTTCAGCTGCATTCAGTTGGGTCAGCACTGAGGTGTCAAGGGGCTTCAGCTGCTTGGTCTTGAGGACGTTGGAGCCTTCAGGAATGACCACATCTTCAGTCACATAGATCTCTTCAGACCCCTTGAACTCGTCGAGACTGAAGTCGGGGCCCTTCTCATCTTCAAGCACCAGGTCAAACTCAGGATTGTTGATGCCGATGGAAGGGTCATAGCCCTCTGTCAAGGCAGCAGGTATTCCATTTGTCTCCCCAAGGTTGCAGCACGCCATTCACCATCATTGTAGCGCAAGGGGTCATTGAGGAAGTCCACAGTCAGTCCATTTGCTTTGGCAATGGGGCGCCCAAGCAACATAGGTGTTTCACCTTGAAGAACAAAGGCTTGCACCAGTCCAAACTTGTTGTTGAGGTAGATTGGCAAGTGGACTGTCCAGTTGCTGACAGCCTTGTGATCGCCGCCAAAGTGAAAGGTGCGATCTGCCTTCTTGAACTTGATCTGGTTGATCGGAAATCCAGGCTTGCCCAAGTGCTCGAGGTAATTGGTGAGAGGTCCAATGCCCATGAGGAAGAACGAAGCTCCAGGATCCATCATCGCGCAGTCAGGCTGTGGAATCTTCAAGCAGGCCATGCTTTCCACAGCTTGGCGTTTGGCATTGCCAGCTGGTGCTGACTTTGGAGTTTCTTTGGAACTCTGAGTGCAGTTGGCCGTCTTATGAGACGAGGATCCACATCGTAGGCTAGGAGCGTTCAGAGCAGCTTGAGCACGTCCACGAGGGTCAGGTGTTTTCATAGGTGGCCTAGGTGGCCTGTTGTTGTTCTTGCCCTTTCCTTTTGCTTTTCCTTTCTTGCCCTTGCCCTTCATGTTGGACTGCATCGGCATCTGAGTTGGTGACGTACTCGTAGAAGAGGCTGAAAAATCCAAGGCGACCACAGGGAGAAATCCACGGGCCCTTCTCAAGTCGTTGAATCTCTTCCGGGCATCAAGGTATGAGGCATAGCAGGAATCGTACTCAGCGACGTCGAACTCATAGTCCAGCACAGGGTCGTTGTTGCCAGCATCATTCTCGTAGTGCGCCGCATCATAGTCAAACTCATGGTCCAGCCAGTCAGTGTCGTTCTCGTCATACTCATTGTACCCATAGTCCTCATCATCCCAATCTGCCCAGTCATTAGCGACGGACTCCACGGTCTCATTGTCAGCGCAGTAGCCACGACCTTTTCCAGAAGATCGCGAGGACCATCGGGAGTTGGGAGTTCCATGGCAAACATCGCCTCTTGGATCTTGTCCCTCTTCAGCGTGTTGGCCTGGGTCATCACCATTTGTTTCTGTTCTCGGCTAAGCTTGGCACGGCTGCGCAAGTACCAACCTTGAACTTCAGGAGGAAGGACAACCTTGTGCTTCTCCAGGCGTCTCAGCTTTTCATCGTGCTCCGTCACAAACTGAAGCAAGGATTGGCCAAGACGTCGGCCTGCAGAGCCAAAGTAGGCCGTGAAGTCGGCTGGCATCTAATTTTTGTTGTCATACTGGAAGGCTGCATCGAGCTGTTTGAGGATATTCTCAAAGGCCTCAGGGTCATTCACCTTGTTCATGTCGAAGTCTTCGACGATCCTCCAAGCAGTGCCTTGGAGTGATCCTAACAGGTTCAGCACGGCTTCTTGGTTTCTTTTCGAAAGCTCCATTTGCTTTGCATAGATCACTATCCGCTTTCTCCATTCTCGGTACCCAGTGGTGGTACCATAAAAGGTCGGGATGGAGCTGTCCCGAAGGCTTTGAGTGTCCAGCTCCGTTCCTGTCTTTCCAGAGCTCGAAGTTGCCATAGTGCTCGTCAAGAGCGTGCAGCTCGAGCAACCGATAGAGGAAGTTCCCCTTGAAGGAATCCAGGGTGGGGTTGGTGGTTATGGTGAAGGTTAGAGGTTGTAGTTGGAGTAGCGCAGTGGTTGGAACGCAAACAGGCGCTCCGCTACCAATGTAGCTTCAACAGCGGTTCAGCACCCACGAAGTTGCTGCAAAGGATCAGTTCAGGCAAGCGCACGAAGTCAGCCTGTTTTCGCGGCCATCGCTCTTGGTTGTTTCCCACCCACCTGGCAAAGGGCGTTTGACCCAAAGGTGGTGGTCACGGATATATACCTGGCAGGCAAATTGGTGCATGACAGGTGGCTTCAGTTGCAAACTGACAACTATCAATAATTTGCAATTAATATATACACAGAGAAAGAGAGAGAGAGAGAGATATAGATATATATATATATATGCAAATTTCATCAAATTTCAATCCAATTTCTTGCATTTAGCTGCATTTAGAGCATTTAGAAGTATTCTTGATGACCATTTGGTGGGGACCGAGATGGAGCGTTGTCGTATTTTGTTGGGTCGCTTCTGGTTTCGAACTGTTTCTGTCACAATGTGTTCCATTCGCTGTTTTGTGTTCGTGAGTGTGATCTCGTGTGACTGCGCCTGACAAAGAACTGACTACAAAGCGGGTCAGGTTCTTGCATGGAAGGCATGCCACTGATAATGTATAGCACTGTATAGCGTGATGCTGAGTGGTGATATGTGGTGATTCTTACTTGGGATCCGGAATGATCCAGACATTTTTGGTTTTTGATGGTTTTTGAGACTGTGATGTCACAGGTGCTTTGGCTGACAGCTTGGGGGACGCTTTGGACACCTTACATAGTGCCAAGCAGAACTGCGTGCTGGCAATACCCTCTGCTGGAGAAGGCGGAACGGTTGCGTGGATATGTAGTGAAACTATGTGAAACTACTATATAATGTTCACAGGCCACCGCACCATATCGCACCAGTCGCACCATGATCATGTTGGTCATTGCAGTGGCAATGCCTCTAGAAATGCACGATGCACCATGCAGCCAAGCGCCAGAGCAAGCTGGGCACGACTCTTTGAATTTGAGGTGATGCGAAGCTTGAGTGCACTGTTGTCGGCGGTGCAGTGACGCCTGCTGATGCTCTCAGAGCCATCTCCGAGAACGTCAACTGCAGAAACATGAGTGTGGCAAAATGGCTGCACAGGCAAGGGGCAAGGGGGAGCAGGTGCCGAGCCTGAGTTTCGTTGTGTCTATCTGGCAGGGGGATAAAAAACAAGAAAACCATATAAAACCATTATTGAACGTTTGATGCAGATTGATGCGGTAGAATCCTTGAATACCATAGCGTTTGTGCCGAATGCCTTGTCAGGTCAGGGATCAGCCCAGAAGATCGGTTTGTTTGCTCAGACGCATCATTGGCAGAAGCCGCAGCGGCTCAACCTAGTTGGCAAAGTTTGCTAAATTTACACAATCATAGTATGACCGGGTTCTGACTCGGCAAGCTGGGATTTTGTGTTTTTCTTAATGATTGCCTGCGCAACTTCCGGTGTAGTGTTTGGGAACTGCTTTAAATGTCGCTGAGGCCCTGATGAGCAAAGGAGGCTTGCATCATTTGTTGGTGGAGGAGCCATCCAGATCCAAGATTGTGGCCTGCCAAGACTTTGGTTGAATCTGGCTGAACAATGAGGAATCTTTTCGCTGGCTACTGTACTGCGCATGACAGTAAAAGTCTGCACTGGTTCAACTGGGCGGCACCAGTTATATAATTGAGAGCTGTTTGCCATCCCTGACTGAGGTGGGAGTGCTCTCAGCTTTGGATATTGTACGTGCGATTGCAGGTGCATACCAGAAGACTTTGGGACACTTGGACATATTGGTGGCAGCCGAGCTGGCTGATCACCACGTTAAAGGCCTACACCAATCCAGGCCGTGCTGCAATAATCTGCAATATACTGCGTGCATGTCAGTGTAATAGTGGAATCCATTGTAATCCGATGCAGCACATTTCAATACATTTCAGATCAGCAGGAGCGACCTTCAGGGCTGACGACCATGACCCAGGACCCATAGATATCAGCATTATCAGCAGGCATTCCTCACAGCCCCAGGTGTGTCCCAACCTTTGCAGCCTTTTGCAGCGTATTGCAGCGTAAGTCTGGAACATGTCCAGACCTTTTCTGATTCTAGGCGTTCTGGGTGTTATTAGCACTTAGCCGAAACGGAATAGACCTTGGCACGACACTTCGAATCACTTCGAGCTCAATCACACGGGATAGGAACTCCAGAAATGCAGTTGGCTGAATGATAATGTTGAGACAAAAGTTTTGGCCTTTGTTTATCTTTGTTTGGTAGCTGAGCTGCAGGTTGTTGCGCGGGTTCAGGCTCACATAGGATACATAGGCTGACGATGGCCGACGTAGCATTGCAATCACATTCGATGCATCTTGATGCTATTCTTTGCTTGCGGGAGGGCCAGATGCTGTGGAGGTGTTGACGCTCTTTGCACGGATACAGTATGTGGTGCTGCACCTGACGTGCTACATAGTGCTCCCAAATACCGCAAGCAAAAGCTGATCAACTATATAATACCAAACTATTACCCAAACTATTTTTACCAGTTTGAGCAGAAGGTGCCAATCAAAACGTATGATGTGTTTTCTTGCCCTGAGCAAACAGACAACGCTGTACACCACAAAAGCGTACCACACAGCAGCTAGCGGCAAGCGTTCAGGGAACAAGCATGTCGGTCTCGGTCTTAGTTGCGCACTAATAAGATCGAATGATAACTAACTAGATAACATTGTAAGGCACTCTTAAGAGTAAGAGAGAGAGAGAGAGAGAGAGAGAGACCGCAAAGAGACTGCAAAGAAGCTGGACATGGCGAGCTTTGCCCTCCGCAAGCCTTCAGCACTCTGGCCGCTGCCGATTTTTTCGAGTAGTTTATAATTTATGAATCTGTATGAATGTCCTTTACATGTTTCTATGGTCTTCAACGTGTAAGCCTCTCAGGTGACATGGAAGGCTCCTCCAGCTGAGCTTCAGCCCATAGACATTTGAAGTGGGCATGATACCAAGTCAAAGATATGATATAGTCTTATTAATGATCAGCTTGCCTCTGATGTTTGGGCCACATTGAGCCAAATTGTTCCAAGCTAAGCACCGAACTGATCCATTTGGCTGTGAGTATATGTTTTCCAACAGGGCCAAGTCCGGCAGAGTAGCCAGAAGGTACACAGCAGCCCTGCAGAGTTGAAGTTTGATCAGAAATCTGACAGCACAACTCGATCTGACAATTTAAAGTTAGCTGATCTCCCAATGAGGAGACAACCAGTTGTTAGAGGTTGGCATGGAAACACTCCAGCAAAATCGTGTGCAAAAACCTGCGTGTCAAATCAATCTATGTATCAGCATGAGTCACAGGCACAATACGCAGGCTGCAATGAAGACATGGGGCCATGGTCCATGGTTGTGTTGTTGACACCATCCTGCCGGTCGCAACCGTACCGTAGGATTGATCAAGCAATGTTTGAGCTGAGATGACCAGCTTCCATTGTGTGAAGGTCCAGTGGCTCTGCTTTAATCGCATGTGCGAATCACCTTTCCGCGAAGTCTGTGAGGCTCAAGATTTTAAGAATGTTTGTGCCTCGTGGCTTTGCCTCAAATGACTGGAGGCGACTTTGGGCATGGCAACTTGGACCAAAGGAAAGAAGGCAGACAGTGGCACTGGCGCCGCTGCCACACATCAAGTCAAAAGTTTCGTTGCAATTTCTTGGTACTGGTGAGGACTTGACCCCCCACTAGATATACCGATATACACCCCAAGAGTCCAGTCATTTTTCCATATTTTTCCTTTCAATGCTGCTTGGTTACGGCTTGACCGAAGCAGACCATTTGAACGCACTTTCGGATGGTTCTAAAGGATGCTTTTTTAATTTTTATAAGAGATGGCACGGGTCAGCCTAGCATGGGGTTCATAATTGGCTTGCAAATGTTGCAAAGCAGCACTAACCAGCAGTCACCCCGTTCTCCAACACACCGTTGACACAGCGGCTTTCCAGCTCACACTTCGCATCACTTCGCATTGCAGAAAGGAGATCTAAACGAATCATAATTCGTTTACCGCCATCCAGGCTGAGAGAGCGTCTTTGGACTTCGATGTTGCCGGTATGATGATTGTATGATGAAGATTTGTACAAATCACACCTCTCACGGAAAAGCGGCGCATTCTTACATTCATGGGGGATCGGACGTAGGGGACCACTTTTACAATTAGAATTAGAATATATATATATAACTGGATGCCGATTGTCATGGCCATTGTGCCAGTGGCTATGTTGGTGATCCAGGCATTGTGAGGCGTGAGCTGCGCATGTTCGGAGGAGCGCCACCATGTCACTATATACATGTAATTAATTCATATCATTTCTAGTCACGAATATGCCACGAATAAACACATGACATGTCGCCGTATCCAGAGTCCTTTTATACCTTTTCCATCTTTTCCATCCTTTTCCAAGGTGATGGAGCCCCTGCAGCGGCCGAAAACAATTTTTGGCTATGGGGCACCTGGGGGAAACGAGCTGCTTGTCCTTGATCAGCTGTATTATGATTATATATTCTGCTACATTTACTAGTTCCTATTTACATGTATTTACTAGATCTGTCGGGAGAGCATGGGAGAGATACATCATACTAGCTATACAGTCGTAGAGGGCATGGTGTAGATTCTAGATATTTTAAGTGTTTAGGTTTTTTGGCATCATGTATGAGTGCGCTATGACCATGCCAGTGCAGCAACATTTGGCCACCAGTTGCATTTAAGTTGTGTTCAAGCCGCATCAAGCGAAATGTTACATGATTAACATGAATGCGATAGCATGAAGTGGGACATTTTCTCGGTTGCCGGGCCAGTTGAATCAAACCGTCGGGTTTGAGGTGATCAAGGCACCTTTCCTCACTCAGAAGGTTCCAGGAAAAATTCGAGACATCATCATCGGCCAGAATTTCATCATTGCCTTGAAGGAGGCCTGGAAGATTTCACAATCATGTTGACATAATTGGGTTGGCACTCGAGGCTGTCGATTTGCTTGGCTGTTCGTGCTAAGCGGATTGCAGGCAGCGAAGCTGCTTCTACAATCTTGAGGATATGTTTTGTAAGTGTGGACAGTGCGGCACAGTTCCATTTATGTGATGCATGTAGTAGTAGACGCTCGCCTGAGACATCTCGAACCTCGAAATTTATGCTTCGCACAGTTTCGCACGTGTAGCTTTGGAGTTAGCGAAAGCACCTTCGAAGCCACATGGGCTGTGTCAACAGGAAAGGTTGAAGCGCACCGAAATGCCTACTATCTCATATATGTCATCAGCCACGCCGAATATGAAAGTTCAGGAATCAAGTCTTGTTTGAGCCACGTCCAAAACCCTTTATTCATTTTTAGTAAGAGGGTGGCAATAAGGACCTCGCGTAAGCAAAACCCTAGTGTGCGTAAGCCGCGTAGGCAACGGCGTAAGCTATTCTTGTGCGTAAGCTAAAACTGCGGGCGCGCACACAGCGCGTAAGCTGCCGTGTAAGCATTCCCTAGCGCCTTCAGAAGAACAAGACCTTTTGAACACACATGAGATCCGCTCAAAACGGTTGTAACGGTTATAAGGATGTATTTTAGATATTTTTAGAATTCATTAGAAGGGGGATTCCTGTATATATGCTGTGAAATCGCTTTCGCTAGATTTGCGCTAGTGCACATGGCAAGTGAAACATAGTCAGGCCCGATGCTTTCTTTCTCTTGCTTTCTTGCACCTGTTGTTCCCGGTCCTGCTTGGGTAACTCCACAGTAGCCTTACTTTTCATAAATCTCATGTCTTTGAGCTGCATTGCCGCTTCACTTTTTTTGGCCAGCATCACAAACATGCGTTGTGAAGATATAATATATATATATATGTGGACACATGTGGAAACAGCTTTTCATGGCTACTGGTATGCTAGACGTAGCGTACTTCTGGCGGCAGATCTGCGCTAGATAATTACCCCAAGAATACGCCGTAGTTGAAAACGCAAGAGCACTGTTTGCTTCCAGCTGGTAGCAGCAACCGGGATGTGGGCCACGGAGCCTACGTTGTTAAACCAAACAAAGGAACCATGGTGCCATGGAGGGCGTGATAGTTAGTGTTTCCAGTAGCTCCAGCAGCTTGAGCTAAAAGAGCCGCGCGCTAGCTACGTTTGCAAGAGTTTGACGCAAATCAATCATTCAGAACTTTCTTCCCTCATGTTTAAGGCCTGTTGGGAGAATTGAACTTTAAAGGCGGAGCCCTGTAAATACGCAGTGAAGGTGATTTTCGTCCGATTCTAGGACAGGGAATTAAGAGAAGACTTCACATAGACCCTCCAAAGTTAAGATTTTTTCGCACTTTGGGTATATACTTTGGACGCGAATGCCCTGCAAACAGCCGCAAAACTTGCAAAACGTTCCAAAAGTGCCATTTGGATCAAACATTCAGTTTTTATTTGAAATTGGAAATCAGTCCTTCCGAGTCAAAGTTTAGAGAGATCACGCATGAGAACAATAACAAGGATAACAAGGTCCCAATGGCTGATGGTGTAGGCATCAAAAGAAATAATAAGGATCAAAAAAGATTAGGTATCAAAAGAAAAACATTATAATGGGCATTGGGCCAATGGCCCGCCTGTAGCCCTTGACTAAACTCTTGGAGGTGGCGTTAGAGAGAGAGAGAGAGAGAGAGAAGGAAAAAAAAACATGTATTATTAGCGGGTGAAACCTTCAAATAGGACCTTCATTTTTAGTTTGGTTTCGAAAGGGAATCAATCAAAAATCACATTGGCCAGTCTGAAATTTCCCAAAGTTTAATGCGGGCCTGAGTTTTTATAGTATTTGGGGCACGTTTAGAGTTTGAAATTAGGTTCTTTGTGTTTCGAACTTTGTTGATTGGCAGACGGCGTTTTAGTGTCACTTTCTTCCGAAATCTCCTGAATCTTGCAACCCCTCGAAACACCGTTCATTGCTTTGAATTGTTCTCAATATTGCGAAATCAACACGCATGGTCAAAAGTGGCTCCGGCTATGTTTTCTCTTGTCTTCTTTCTGGTCCAAAAATTATGGTCCAGTCTGAAAAAATGCTGATTGCATTCAAAGGATTTTTGTGGTCCGTGGGTTCGATAGGTGCATTTGAGGTGATTTTCCATACTAACGATTTGGCAAATGTATTGTTGAATTCTAGGTCCATTCAAGAGGATGACATGGGTGGGTGGATGTGTGTGTGTGAGAAGCCCTGAAACAAAGGGTATCAATACCAACAATCACTAGCAGGGGGTAGCGGCAGATCACTTGGGACCGCTACCAACGAAGACACCCATTTGATCTGGTGATACAGATTGGGACGCCAATCTGCGTACCTGCAACATTACGGTTTTCAATTACGTAGATTTGACAGTGAACTTCGTCAGCATTTTTGTCCTCATGGCAAGCGGCTAAGCCAAGAACCGCCTCGCCGAAGTTGTTTGCACATTCACATCAATTATCAACATGTCACGCCGAAGATGCTCTTGTTAACTGGGATTAGTTTGAAGTCTTGAATTATACATAACGATATCATGACACTATTCATCTCATCTCATCTCACGTCTCTCCCTTCCGGGTGTTCCAAAGTGTGTGCATATGCTGCTGAAGGGAAACATGTGATTTATATGATGTCAGCGGACACTTTTGTGAGATATTCTGGTGAGGGCGGTGTCGGCCGGTCAGTTTTGTTTCAATCGGTTCAGATCAGTTGCGCGTTGACATGATCAATTCGGCCCAAAAATGCAGAAATCCCAAATTTTCAAAAATTTCTTAACTTCGGAGGTGCAGCTGTGTGTCTTATGGTTTGTATGTTGTGTCCCTGAGCTTGGTTTCGATAAATTCGAATTATTCTACCTTGCGCCTGAGGTAGCATGTGCACATGAGACAGGCCAAACCTATAAAATTCCGATGTCATTGGAACCTTTTGGCATGATATGGTATGGTCCTTAGCCCTGTATGCCCTGTGCAGAAGGCATAAGAATATGATTTTTTCATGTGGCTTTGGGTTCAACAGTCCATGCCATTTGTGTCGGATTGATCTACGGAGGATGGGCAGCTGGTCTCCTGGGGCGAGGACAAAGTCGGATGTTTGGGCTTGGGCAGTGAGCAGGTGAATGCGCCTTGGAATACATACAATGTTTTCTTGTTGTGTTCCTATGTTCACTGCGCTTTCATAATTTTGCATAAACTCCTCGGACTACAGGATCCCACTGGCGTGCCTGGCTTAAACCCCTAGACTGGAGCCAAACTTTTTAGCCAGGCTAAGATCGTACCGGGATTTTATCCAAGGAATTTTGGTGTTTGACCCAGAGATTTTATCCAGAGCGTTGGTTTCCACCAATGAGAAGAGATGAGAAGACATTGAAGGTAGGCCAAGGGGTTTTATTTTTCCCCACGTTGACGTGTGGGGTTTTGGTTTTTAGTTCTGTGTCCGCCTTCCTCCTCCGCCTCCCGTCCTCTCACTCACTCACTCACTCACTCACTCACTCACACTAGCTCACTCACTCACACACTCACTCACTCACTCACTCATTCACTCACGCACTCACTCAGTCACTCACTCACTCACTCACTCAAACATACACTGGCTCACTGACTCACTGACTCACTGACTCACTCACTCACTCACTCACACACTGACCCACTCACTCACTCACTGACCCACACACACACACACTCACTCACTCACTCATTCACTCACTCATTCACTCACTCACTCACTCCCTCACTCCCTCACTCCCTCACACTCACTCACTCACTCACATTCACTCACTTTGTCCGGTGTCCCTTGGTCTCCGCCGCTTTTGCGTGGCAGGCGTGGGACAATGCGCACTGCCAAGGGGCCGGATGTACGCCCTGGCGTCCCTCCGGCGTCCCTCCGGTGTCCCTTGGTCCTCGCCGCTTTTGCGTGGCAGGCGTGGGGCAATGTGCGCTGCCAAGGGGTCCGACCTGCGTCCCTCCAGTGTCCCTTGCTTGGTCTCCGCCGCGTTTGCGTGGCAGGCGTGGGACAATGTGCACTGCCAAGGGGCCGGATGTACGCCCTGGCGTCCCTCCGGCATCCCTCCAGTGTCCCTTGGTTTCCGCGGCTTTTGCGTGGCAGGCGTGGGACAATGTGCACTGCCAAGGGGTCGGATGTACGCCCTGGCGTCCCTCCGGTGTCCCTTGGTCTCCGCCGCGTTTGCGTGGCAGGCGTGGGGCAATGTGCACTGCCAAGGGGCCGGATGTACGCCCTGGCATCCCTCCGGCGTCCCTCCGGTGTCCCTTGGTCTCCGCCGCTTTTGCGTGGCAGGCGTGGGACAATGTGCACTGCCAAGGGGCCGGATGTACGCCCTGGCGTCCCTCCGGTGTCCCTTAGTCTCCGCCGCGTTTGCGTGGCAGGCGTGGGACAATGTGCACTGCCAAGGGGTCGGATGTACGCCCTGGCGTCCCTCCGGCGTCCCTCCGGTGTCCCTTGGTCTCCGCCGCTTTTGTGTGGCAGGCGTGGGACAATGTGCACTTCCAAGGGTTGGATGCACGCCCTGGCGTCCCTCCGGCGTCCCTCCGGTGTCCCTTGGTCTCTGCCGCTTTTGCGTGGCAGGCGTGGGACAATGTGCACTGCCAGGGGGTCGGATGCACGCCCCTTCTTCTCTCTTCTTTGGTTCCGGTGCTTGTCTCCCTTCTTCTCTCTTCTTTGGTTCCGGTGCTTGCCTCCCTTCTTCTCTCTTCTTTCTTTCCTCAGGACAGGGGTTCTTTCTGTTCCATCATGATTTGCTGGTTCCTCTTGGTTCAGGCTGGGGTTCCGGTGCTTGTCTCCCCTTCTTCTCTCTCCTTTGGCTCCGGTGCTTGTCTCCCTTCTTCTCTCTTCTTTCTTTCCTCAGGAAAGGGAAAGGGGTTCTGCTCCATCATGATTTGCTGGTTCCTCCTGGTTCCGGCTGGGGTTCCGGTGCTTGTCTCCCTTCTTCTCTCTTCTTTCTTTCCTCAGGACGGGGGTTCTGTTCCATCATTATTTGCTGGTTCCTCTTGGTTCCAGCTGGGGTTCCGGTGCTTGTCTCCCTTCTTCTCTCTCCTTTCTTTCCTCAGGAAAGGGGCTCTGTTCCATCATGATTTGCTTGTTCTTTCTTCTTTCTTTCCACAGGAAAAGGGTTTTGTTCCATCATGATTTGCTGGTTCCTCTTGGTTCCGGCTGGGGTTCCGGTGCTTGTCTCCCTTCTTCTCTCTTCTTCCTTCCCTCAGGAAAGGGGTTTTGTTCCATCATGATTTGCTGGTTCCTCTTGGTTCCGGCTGGGCTTCCGGTGCTTGTCTCCCCTTCTTCTCTCTTCTTTGATTCCGGTGCTTGTCTCCCTTCTTCTCTCTTCTTTCTTTCCTCAGGAAAGCGGTTCTGTTCCATCGTGATTTGCTGGTTCCTCCTGGTTCCGGCTGGGGTTCCGGTGCTTGTCTCCCTTCTTCTCTCTTCTTTCTTTCCTCAGGAAAGGGGTTCTGTTCCATCATGGATTCACCGCTGGTTCCTCCTGCTTCGGGCTGGGGTTCCGGTGCTTGTCTCCCTTCTCCCTTTTTTTTCTCCCTTTTTCTGTGTGGATTCCTGGATGCGTCGGGGCGTCTCTTTTATCGCCTCGTATTTGTACGGTTGAAGTACTGAAGGAGTAAAACAGAAGACAGGACAGGAGCGTGCCAGACAGTACCATGAATTTTGAATTGCACATCACCTTGCTGGAAACATGCGTTGTTGCTGTTTGGGGTCTATGCTGTCTATGCTGGTGTAATTTCCTCAGGAAAGGGGTTCTCTTCCATCATGATTTGCTGGTTCCTCTTGGTTCCGGCTGGGGTTCCGGCGCTTGCCTCCCTTCTTCTCTCTTCTTTCTTTCCTCAGGAAAGGGGTTCTGTTCCATCATGATTTGCTCTCTTGGTTCTGGGTGGGGTTCCGGTGCTTGTCTCCCTTCTTCTCTCTTCTTTCTTTCCTCAGGAAAGGGGTTTTGTTCCATCATGATTTGCTGGTTCTTTCTCTCTTCTTTCTTTCCACAGGAAAAGGGGTCTGTTCCATCATGATTTGTGCTGGTTCCTCTTGGTTCCGGCTGGGGTTCCGGTGCTTGTCTCCCTTCTTCTCTCTTCTTTCTTTCCTCAGGAAAGGGGTTCTGTTCCATCATGGATTTCCTGGTTCCTCTTGGTTCCGGCTGGGGTTCCCGTGCTTGTCTCCCTTCTTCTCTCTTCTTTCTTTCCTCAGGAAATGGGTTCTGTTCCATCATGATTTGCTGGTTCCTCCTGGTTCCGGCTGGGGTTCCGGTGCTTGTCTCCCTTCTTCTCTCTCTTTTCTTTCCTCAGGAAAGGGGTTTTGTTCCATCATGGTTTGCTGGTTCTTTCTCTCTTCTTTCTTTACACAGGAAAAGGGGTCTGTTCCATCATGGTTTGCTGGTTCCTCTTGGTTCCGGTTGGGGTTCCGGTGCTTGTCTCCCTTCTTCTCTCTTCTTTCTTTCCTCAGGAAAGGGGTTCTGTTCCATCATGGATTTCCTGGTTCCTCTTGGTTCCGGCTGGGGTTCCCGTGCTTGTCTCCCTTCTTCTCTCTTCTTTCTTTCCTCAGGAAATGGGTTCTGTTCCATCATGATTTGCTGGTTCCTCCTGGTTCCGGCTGGGGTTCCGGTGCTTGTCTCCCTTCTTCTCTCTCTTTTCTTTCCTCAGGAAAGGGGTTTTGTTCCATCATGGTTTGCTGGTTCTTTCTCTCTTCTTTCTTTACACAGGAAAAGGGGTCTGTTCCATCATGGTTTGCTGGTTCCTCTTGGTTCCGGTTGGGGTTCCGGTGCTTGTCTCCCTTCTTCTCTCTTCTTTCTTTCCTCAGGAAAGGGGTTCTGTTCCATCATGGATTTCCTGGTTCCTCTTGGTTCCGGGTGGGGTTCCGGTGCTTGTCTCCCTTTTTTTCCCCCTTTTTCTGTGTGGATTCCTGGATGCGTCGGGGCGTCTCTTTTATTGCCTCGTATTTGTACGGTTTAAGTACTGAAGGAGTAAAACAGAAGACAGGACAGGAGTGTGCCAGACAGTACCATGAATTTTGAATTGCACATGACCTTGGTGGAAACATGCATTGTTGCTGTTTGGGGTCTATGCTGGTGTAATTAATGTTTGTTTAGGGTTTGGTTAGGGTCAGTTTAGGGTTTGTTTCGGGTTGGTTTAGGGTTGGTGATGGGGCACCGTAAACACAGCGATTGGCGTAACGGCGTATCAGCGGAAACACAGCGATCGGCGTAACGGCGTTTTGGCGTAAACACAGCGATCGGCGTAACGGCGTATCAGCGTATTTACGCTTACGGACCCCAATCCCCAACACGCTGGCACTTTTGGCATTTGCACCTGGGGCCAAGGGATTTTATTTTCTACATATTGTTACAATGATGAGGTTTTGGGTTATCTCAGACCTAGGGATTTTTATTTTGGTAACCTTTGCTGAGATAATTGTGCCTTGTTTCCGGGGTCAAGCCAGGTTTTTATCCAGGGCACGTTGGCGTTTGACCAATGGGGTTTTATCCCAAAGTATTGGCTAAAACCCGTGGCTCCAGGCTAAGGTGTGGACTCTACGGGGATCTCTAGGACATGAAAAGAATGGTGATTTAATCAAACAATAATGAAAGAGAGAGGGGCGGAAAAGAAATAGTTGGCAGGAACCATGAGGAATGCAGCTGTTTCGAATCGAGCCCCAGCTCCACTTGCAACTGGATCTCAGGTGCAAGATCCAAAGAAGATTTTCTTCCCTTCGGACTTCAAGGGCAAAGTTGTAGACGTCCAGTATGGAAGGCACCACGTTTTAGCGCTGACAAGCTCGGGCAAGGCGGGGCACTGTTTCCGTTTGTCTCTCAGAACAGCCGCAATTACAAGGGAGCTTGTCATCTCATGGCTATGTTGGACACATGTTGGACACTGATTGTGCATGGGGGCATGTGCCTGCATGATAATGATCGAAGGAAGCCTAGAAGTCAAACTTCCGATAATATGGACAGATGGAAAAGCAGAGGTGGGAAAAGCGCGAGAAGAGAAGAGAAGAAGGAAGAAGATCGGAGAAGAGAAAAAGTTAGAGTTAGAGGAAAGAAGAGATGCAGGTGCGTGAAAAGGTAGAAAAGTCGCGAAACAGAGCGTTTTTTCCATTGATTTGTGGCCCTGCAGGGTTGACAAGTAGGCTCGCTAACGCGGCGGGCGCGGAGCCATTTGGAGAGATGAGATGAAAAATTGCACGCCGTTGTGGCGCGAAGCA